AACCACAAGCAATAGTGCAGATTTTTATTCACTTGAGTCAGTCACGTTTCAGGCTAAATCGCAGGGGCTTAAGTGTAATTTTTAAAGTTGAAATTTGATAACAAAATGTATACGACATCGAGAACTAACTTCTTCCCGAAAATGGGCTTAGTCGGATAAACGATGAATTAGTTATGAATTTTTGAAGTTTTGGCTCAGACAAACTTATTTTGGGCTCCAGTGTCAACTCTGATATGTTCCTCAATAAAAAATTGGTATTGATAGGAGCAGAACCCGGTCTCGACTTTAGAAACAAAGTTGTAGATCTCTGAGTCAGTGACCTTGTGTAAAAATATGGACCCGATCCGATAAAAATTGACCGAGTTATGAATTTTTGAAGTTTCGACCCAGATGAAATAATATTCAGCATTCAGGATTTTCGGCGCGTCACGCGCACTCTGGGCAAAAAATGAAGGCCTTTTGGATACCGTTCGAACTCGATACCTCCTGCGTAAAAACGGCACTTTCTGCACACTTTTTTCACCATATTTCTTTGAGAAAACTGACACATTTGGAGACCTTCTTTAAAGAATTGGCTCTCGAGTCGAACCTAAATTTGATAATATGTTATCATGGATATCTTAACGAAAGAACACCTGAATATGACGCGTCGGGTTAGACTTGTGAATCTTTGAACTCTGAATCGCTGCGAAACAGCGAACCGATCTTCAGCATGAAAAATACTCTGAGAACATCCATTGGAAAAATAAATGTCACTTGTAACCTGACGAAGCTTACTAAATATACCTTGATCCCATAACCATAGAACCAATGATATGTGTGTATGTAATAATGAAATGTAAGCAAAAAAGGTTGAAATAAAGAGGGTAAATTTTGGGGTACAACACCAATGTCTCGGGGTAAACCCCAAGAACTCCAGAAAAAGTAGTAATAGAAGCCACCAAGGTCTCAAGGTAGGTCAAGGTCTCTAATCCTAAGTCCAAGAAGTCCATAACTCCAAAATTTCAAGGATAGTAATCAAATAGTCCAAGTAACCTTAAAGTTTTTTATTGTTCAAGTTGGTTATTAGGTATCTTCAAAAAGAAAATGAAAATCTCAAGTGATCAAAATAAAAATGACATAAAGATAAATGCTCAAGTGAGCAAAGATGAAAATAGCATGAAATGTAAATGCTAAAATAAATGGTGCTTAAAGTAAAAGCATAAAAATAAATGTCAATTGTTAATGAGTTAGAAATTAGAGGTTAGTTGAATGATCATCTTGAAACTTGCATTTGAAAACTCATTAGAAAATTGATAAAATCAAAGCCTCTTAACAATAAGTTTCATTTGCTTTTTGTCAAGTATATCATTCATTTCAAATTTTCAAGGCAACTATAAATGATCAACGATGTTTAAATAATTCACTTAGTCCAAAATTTATAATGATTGATTAGAGGATTGGTAAGACCAAAGCCTCCTAACAATGAATCTCAAGGTTATTGGATCAAAGGTTTCAAATTAAACATACTTAGACTTGCAAACATAGGTTTGGGCCACGAATGATCACTTCTTGAATTGGGACAAAATTTAGCGCTATGTTAAGCAATCGTAAGTGGATTTATATAGAAGTCGCACCTATTTTGAAGTTAGTCAATAGCAATCTATGTGCTATATGTTTGGAGAGATAATATGTAGATCATCCTCTAACAACATGTAACACAATGAGAAATGGATAAGATGAAGAGGGAGGGGAAATATTTGAATCAAAAAATTTAATCAAACTATCATTAAAATCATCCATCTATTTTGGTGCAATTAAACTCAACACCCAAGATCCAATGGTGTTAATGAAGTTCATGATCAACAATCACATAGCCAGAATATATTAAAAAATAAATTGCATTTAATGAATAAAATAAAAAGGAAAAATGATTTTTAAATTGTTTTTTAAAATGAAAATAAAAGGTAAAATAGTAAACTATATTCAAAGTATCAAAGAAAAATTTAAAGAGAGCATAGAAAAATCAGAAGTAACCTTAAATATTTTTAAAAAAATTTGGTAACTTTTTTAAATAGAAAAAAACATTTTTAAATTGATTAAAATCATTCAAATAAATGGAAAAAGGATTAAAAATAGTAGAAATTAAAATAAAATTCTAGAAAAAATTCAGAAAGTCAGAAATAATGAAATGATTTTTATAAAATTTTTAGGATTTAAAAAATATCAAAAAGTATTTTTAAAACAATTAAAATAAGGCAAACAAGACAAAATTATGAAAAATATCAAACATTAAAATAAAAATATGAAAAAATATTCACAAATTCAGGAATAATTCAAAGTATTTTTGTATATTTTTTCATAATTTTTGGATAAAAAATAAAAGAGTTATTAATTTTTAAAGATAAAAAAAATTTTAAAAAAAAATTGTAAAATAAAAACAAATCAGAAAAACCTTGCGTGTTGGATCTCTCTCACTTATACACGCTAGCAGATCTAATGGATCTGAGGTGAGGGAGTATCATGGACCCAAGCTAAGGCGCGCGCGTACAACACAAGAAAATCCAACCAATCAAAATAAAACAATTGGCTCAGCGTCATTGGTTAAAGAACGACATGTAGGTCGTCTTCAACCTCCAGCCTCCTGCAAGTAGGACAAATCCAAGATCCATGAATCTGTAAATTTACACGTTCATAGTGGTACCATTAGATGCATCTACTTGAGACGATCACAACCATGTGCTCGTGAAAAATTTATGTAAAGCACAGCATAGTCGATTTGGAAAAAACCAAAGATGTTTAAAAATGTCAAAATCGAAAATAAGAAGCATTAAATGCATTATTTCACCAAAAATGAGTAAAGAGCAAGCATCAGTGAACATCATAGACCATTCCAGTAATTTGAGTTAGAGGATTTGGTGCCTTAAACTACCTGAACGAAGTCAGATGAACTTGCTCTATAAATGGACTTGGCTAGCACGATTCAGGATACCTTAAGGCTTGATTCTTCTTCTGTTAGCTTCAGTGAAGTTCAAGGGTGAAGGATCAATGAAGAAATTAGATTAAGAAGTGGTGAAAAGAGGAATTCGAAATCTCAAAAAAGTGAGTTATGGAGGGAGTTTGACAGAGAGATTTTGGTTGTTCAAGCTTTAGAAAATGAGAGGAGTGAGGTGCTTTATTTATAGGGAAGCGAATGAGAATGAGAATTTGAAAAATTAGTGGAGTTTGGAGGGAAATCGTGAGAGGTCGTGGACATGGGAAATGTGTGACTTGCTTAGCATCAAAACTCACTCAAACCTTGCGTTTCAAGGCTTTAATCCTCTTTCGCAAGTTAGTTAAATATGATTAGATTAGAAACACGCGCTAATTTGGTGTTTATAAGTCACATTATGGATTTCAAATTCTGACTTTGGAGAAAACTTCAGTTTCAAGGTACCATCTTTGAATCCATGGTTTTCACAGCTCAAGGGGTCTTAGGGCATGATTCTTGAAGCAATTGAAAGATAAGGTCACAAAATTTACAATGTGAAAAGAATGAGATCAATTGGATACTTGATCTAGGAGTTGTGATGAGTCAAACTTGAGAAAAAGATGTTGACTTTTTGTACTTAGAAAAATTCTAAGTTTTTTCTTCAAAAGTGACCTATAATGTTTTGAGTTCAAACAAGGCCTTCCTCCAAAATTGAGCTTTTATCATTGATTCTAGATTGAAGTAGACTTCCCAAAGAGAATTGTGAAACTTGAATCACTCAAAAATACCAATTATTGAAAAAGTTATGGCTTTTTAAAATTTGTAAAAATTCATGAGATGACCTATAATCTTTTGGGTTCTTAGGGCATCTTCCACTCATTTTCAAGCTTTTCACATAAAATAAGAGTTGAATTTCACATCCTTAAGATCATTTTGGAAAAAGAATGGTCTCAAGTAGATAAAAATTGACCAATTTATGATCTTTTGAAGTCACATAAGGGAATTTGATGGCTTATCTAGAGGACTTGTAATCTTTCTTCATCATTAGGCATCTTTCACACAAAATTTTATTGAAACTCTTAAAGTGATTAGTTTATAACCATTTAAAGAGAATAACATCTTTGGAATCGCTCAAAAATATCAAAATATGAGCAAGATATAGCCCTTAGAAGTTCAAAACCCTAGCTCCTAAAGCACCAAAATGACTTGGAACCCCTTTCAATTTTGACAATCTTTCTTGCACAATTACTTTTTCCATGTGAATAGAAGTTGTTGTGGATGATAATAAGAACTCATATCAATAAAAACCACCTCCAAATATTAAAGATTGAGAGAGTTATGTACTTGTGATCAAAGAATCAAGAATTTGTCCAATTAGGTCGAACTTCTTCAATTAATCCTTGCATCTTTTGACTTTCTTTGATAAATTGAGGGATGATGAATCATAGTAGACCTTGTCATGATATTAATTTAAAGTATCTTAAATAATGAAGCTTGAATCTCAATGAAGCTTTGTTGAAGAAGGCATGGAAATAAACTCATGAACCTATGAATTCACCTGATGAAATGTGTTGTGCCCTCACCTAGCACCATCATTTAGAGCAAACATTCATAGTATTTGTTAGTTAAAAGTTAAACAATACAAAACATATATGATCACAATATACAAATCAAGGTGATTGGTGATTCCTCATGAGCAAACCTAAAGATAGGGATAAGAGCCAAACCCTAGTGTGATCTTGTTGTGATTGAGTTTATATAAGATGATAGAAGAATCTTAGGGGCAAAATTTGGGGTACAACACAACCCCCTTGTAGATTGTAGTCTATCTTCTAACATGACTATACGTGTTTTTCTTCTTCCCTTAACTGTTAAAATGTCTTTAAAGTATGACTTAACTTGCCAAAACTTTTCAAAACCATGTTTTTCCAAATCACACAATTCACCCCTCCCCTCTTGTGTGTGAAGTCTCAAATCTGACATTCTGCTCAACGCTCAGTTTTCCATGTACCCCTTCATAAGTCTCTTTGATATTTTTAGGAGATGATGTTTAGTAAATATCTGAAAAGTAATTAGGGAGTAACCTTTCAAATTTTATTTTACCTTTCCACCACTGACCATCTTCATCTTTGAGTTTCTTTATGGGGTTAGTTTTCCTCCTTTGCTCAGATTTACCATGAAAGAATTTTGTGTTTCGATCCCCGTCCTTTAACAACACCTTCCTACTCTTTTCTCTCCAAATTACATCTTTATGTTTCAAAAGATTGTTCCTTTGACATTCAATACCTTTGTAGGTCTTTATGTTCTCTCCTCTTGAAGACCATATGTTTTCCCCTTTCAGAAGCTCCTCAACCCGCTTGATTTCTGCCTTCACCACCCCTGTCATATACTCTTTGAAAACATCTCCCAGCGTACAAATGGAAATTACCTTATTATATCCGTGATCGGTAGGACCTTCCAAATTTTTCCTCACCAACTCCTCACATCTATCATCTCTAGACCAAACATCCTCAAACCTGAAAATGCGTCTTCTCTTCATGTCCTCTTTCTCCTAATCAGCCTCTAAGTCAATACGAATGGCAGCATGATCTAAGACAAACCTATAAAGATGATGAACCTTAATAGGGATGAATCTGGATATGAAATATGTTTTTTCTAGTCCTCTATCCAGTCTACATTGGATGTTGCCCGCTTCATCTCTACCATTTGACCAAGTAAATTGGCAGTCCTCAAAACAAAGGTCTTAAAGACCAATAAGTTCCAAAGTTTGTCTACCCTATTAAACTAACATAAGGTTCTGTTGTTACCTCAAAGTTTATCATTCCCAAAAAGGATATCATTGAAATCCCCAAAGCACAACCACATGTCACCAAATTCTCTTGATAATTGTTAGACAAGAAGCCACATTTTCCTTTTGCTTTGTTCTTTCAGAAATCCATAGATCCCTGAGAAAAACTACGGTTGATCTTCTTCCTCGTCCATGATATACACCCTATGTGATTGAAGGAGAAAGATGAAACTATAACTTTCATGTTGTCGATCTAGAGAAGCACAATACCTCCTGCTCTCTCTTTCCTATGACCTTTACATTCCATAGTAAGACAATGGTTAAAGACACATTTTATTCTTATGGTCTGCATTTCCTGATCTTTCAAGTGAGTCTCCATTAGGAAGATAAGGTTTGGTTTTCCAGTCGAATGAGCCTTAGCAAGGCTCGGACTGTTTGGGGACTCCCCAAACCCTTGTAGTTCCAGCTCAAGATTTTGATTTGGTTAGAAGGTTTTGGTCATTCAAAATCGCCTCTAGTTCATGTAACTAACAGTATCCAATTCACTTGATTGATTCCTCTTTTTCCCATCACTTCCACAAATCTCCATTGAATCCTCTATAATGACCACATCCACCAATTGCCTTTTTCCTCCTTCATATTCAAGATTCTTCTGTTGAGACTTCTTGTCATTCCTCTTAGAAATATGTTTGTTTCATTTCTTCCTCTTAGAACCGTCTTGGGTGGAAACTTTGTCCTCCTGTTTTTGCTTATTTATAAGGTTGCTCGTGATTGCCACTGCTCCAAAGGATTCAGCCGTATTCTCTATTTCCATCCCACTTACTTTCACCCTCATTTCCTTTATAGTCTACACCTCTATTAGATCTAGTTCGGATCCTTTGACTTGCACTACCTCTGCCTCACATCCATCCTCATTCTCTGTTGGATTGCATCTACTTTGGCTAGAAAACACAATGAACAAACTCTTGTTGCATGTATCTGAACTGAACTCCTTGTTTCGTTACTCTTAAAAGACTTTGGGTAAAGGGGAAGCCCTAAGCCATAATCAATAGGAGGGTTTATGTTCGTCTAAATCCTCAAAACCTTCATCGTTTAACTCTTCTAATGACGCATCGTCCTTCATTTGGTGACCTATTCTACCGTAGATGAAACAAAAAGTAGGGAATATTTCATATTTAAAGAAGACTCGGTGCCTTTTGTCTTTGAATCTCACCATTGTACCCCTCTTTAGCGGCTACTTCAGGTCCACATTAACTTTAATCCTCAAAAATCTCTCATTCATGTGTATATCTTTCGATGCCATAAAATTAAATCTTAGGGGTGAAAAACGTGTAGGTCCACCTAGCAAAAGTCTGCAAAATAACGGGACGAGGCAGGACAGACTTTGTTAAAGGTGTCGACCTAAAACATTGCTTCGTCCCACAAAAAAAATGAACGCGAGGCGCGGCGGATCTACGGCCATTGCACCTTTTAAACTTAAATATTACAAATTTTCATGTTAATGTCCACACCCACAAAAGTTTGCAAAAAAGTAGAGCGAGCGCGGGGCAGACATTTTAGAGGGTGCGAGTCTAAAACATTGATCCGCCTCACAAAAAGTGTGAAAAATCGTACATGTCCGACGAGCCGGGCTCGTTTTATCACCCAACTAAATCTTATTTTATATTAAAAAAACAAATGAAAAAATATTTAAATTTTTTTACCGTAGAAGTTAAAAATATTTTTTTAATAATTTAATTTAATCTAATACTCTCTTTATCTCTTAGTAATTGTCACTATTTTGCACAATTAATAAACAGAATAAAAAATAAATGTTGAATTTTATTGATTTATATTGATTAACTATTAATGAATAGTTATTAATAAATAGTTCAAAATAAAACAAATTAAGAGAGAGATAAATTGTATTAATGAAAGAATACAACTGAAAGAATAACAATTAAAGTTAAAATAAAAATTAAAAGTGATATTTTTTAAATAAATATTTTTTTTGTAAACGCTTGTCAATTTTTTACACACACATTAGACGTTATTTTTCTTAAGTAAATTTATAAAAGATTAATATTATTCCTTAGAAATATTCAATTGAATCCTATATATTTAAAATAGTTTTGAAATTTTATTCCAAAAAAAGTTTTGAAACTAACCTAACTAAACTAGTATCATTAAATAACTTAGTTTGATGCATTTATATAAGTATTTTAAAATATTTTTTGATTCAGAAGAAAATTAAATAACTGTATTCTGTTCATAATATTAGATAGACTTGGTGGCAGATAGGTGGAGCCGTCAAAGTTTTCATTCATCGCATTTCACTTTCCACGAAGTATCTCAAACACATTAATTAATAACAAATCTAAATACCACTATATATTACTCCATCAATTTTTTATTATAAGTCGTTTTAACCTGTTTTTTTCACGTATTAAGAAAATAATTAACTTTAATAATTTTATAAATATATTATAAAATGTTCCAATATTATTTTTTATAAAATCACATTTAAAATCTCTTTTTTCAAAATATACTAAATTAGTCGTTATAATTTGATAATAAAATATTTAGATTACAATTATTTCATCAATAATAAATATATGTAAGTTTTCAAATGATTCTCATTAATAAAACAAAAATCTTATTTTAAAATATAAAAAATAAATTTTTTTATTGTTTTTTTTCTTAAATTTTTTATACTTATTAATCGTTATAATTTGAAGATGAAATATCTAGATTGTATTATTTCATCCATAAAAAATATATTATCATTATTAAAAAAAATCTATTTTAAAAATATTTAAATTCAATTTTTGATGCATCAAAAAAATTCACTTATTATTTTTTTTATTCTCTTTCTTTATTTTCCTCGTGAAAAAGTTTGTTATTTTTTTTTATCCTAGATCAATCATGATTTGATAATGGAATATCTAAAAATCAATTATTTAATCAACCAAAAATATATGTATTTTTAATTTATCATCATTAATAAAAAAAAACTTTTAAAATAAAAAATTAGATTTACTTTATAAATTGTCTTCCTTATTTTTTTCCCTCTCAAATTAGAATCCACATTTTTTTCCTCTAAAAAAAATTAGGAAATCCTAAATAACCTTAAAAAATTTGTGAAAAAATTTTTATTAAATATTTTTCCTCCAATATTTCATTAACTATCTAAACCAATTTCCTATAACTCTTTCGTTCAATTTTTAAATAAAAAAATTCCTTCTAAATATTTCAATTTACTTCCTCACATATTTCCCTCTACAATTTTTTTGTTGTTAATCTTCTTTCTATAAATTTAGACTAACTCACCACATATTATGATATTAAAATGGCTTTAAATCACATTGATTTCAATGTTATTTCAATGGAAGATGAAAAATATATTCAACAATAAAATGTAAATATAATGCATAATCTATCCGATTTAAATATCAATATTGTAGAAAGTATTGATCTTAACGGTATTTCAAATATGCACCTATGTCATATGTATTTGGAAGAAGATACTTATAACCTCATCGGTAGATAACAATATTTTCATGCTTTTATGCTTATTTATTTATTTTTTCATGATCTATTTATTTCTTTATAATCCCATCAAAAGAATCTCTAGAATTTAATTGATTTATATTTGTCTTATTTATCGTGTGATTTGAGATTTTCATTTGTTTGTATTTGACATTAGATTAATGTGTCAACCTTCAAATTCAACTTATTTAAATGTTTTAAATCTTGATTTTTTATGTTCAACACAAGTTTTACAACATAGTGACTCTCCTAACTCTATTGATAAACTCGTGAGTGTAGTTGAGAAGTCATTTCAAAAATTTATAAAATATTAAATCAAATCATATATTTTTAACGCATCAATCATGTATGATTGAAATTATGAAAGCAAGAGGTTCATATGAAGAAAAAATGTTGGAAGTTAGAAATCAATTGCCAACCCAATTAAAATGTGATATCCAATTGATGCGAGATGTTAGGAAATATTTAGATATTATTGGTGATGATTAACTATTTTATTCCTCGTAAAATTGCTTTAATGAGATATTGTTAAACAAAAAATAAATTGTTAAGTTCATTTCTTATAAAATTGCTATATTTGTAAATTGTTACGCTCATTCTTTCCTTTTAAACTTTTTCTATAATGTAAAAAGCTATAACAAATAAATATTTTTTGTTGGTAAAATCTCTTCAAATCAAAATAACCATTCTTTGTAAAATTGCTCGGTTTGTAATGAGATGTTGTTAAACAAAAAATAAATTGTTACGCTCATTCCTTATAAAATCGCTTCATTTGTAAATTGTTACGCTCATTCCTTAAAAAAAATATAACTATAGTAAATAAATATTTTAATTTGTTGAAATAATTTCTTCAAATCAAAATAAGCATTTCAAATCCAAGATAATTATAACATGATAGAAACACAGATTTTATTTAATTTTAATAAAATTTTGAAAATAAATCTGGTGTAATTTCTTCCATTCTTCTTTGAAGTTTCATCTTCCTCCCCTGAAAATTTATTTAAATCTATCTACCCATTATTCAAAAGGATATTTAAATCAATGGAATCTTCGTTATCTTGTGGATCCACGAAATCTTCAACTATCTCTATATTCATAATCTTTACGATTTTCCATTGCAAAAATTTTTAGGTTATTTTTTATAAGAGGAAAAAGATTAAAAAATTGCAGAATATATAAAAGCCTCAGAAGATTCACGTCGAATAAATTTTTAGAAATTTTAA